GGGACCCCCGGGACCGAGAGGGACCCCCGGAAACGGGGCGAGAGTCCCGGGACCGAGAGGGACCTCGGGAACCGACCGGAACCCCCGGGAACCGACAGGGACCCCCGGGACCGAGAGGGACCCCCGGAAACGGGGCCGAGAGTCCCGGGACCGAGAGGGACCCCCGGGAACAGAGCCGGGACCCCGGGAACCGACAGGGACCCTGGGAACCGACAGGGACCCCCGGGACCGAGAGGGACCTCGGGAACCGGGCTGGGACCCCCGGGAACCGAGAGGGACCCCCGGGACACCGAGAGGGACCCCGGGAACCGGGCCGGGACCCCGGGAACCGACAGGGACCCCCGGGAACGGGGCTGGGACCCCGGGACCGAGAGGGACCCCCCGGGAACCGGGCCGGGACCCCCGAGGTCCCCGGGACACCGAGAGGGACCCCGGGAACAGACCGGGATCCTGGGAACCAGGCCGGGACCCCCGGGACCCTGACAGGGACCCCGAGAACCGGGCTGGGACCCCGAGAACGGGGTTAGGACCCTCGGGACCCCGAACGGGGCGGGGAGATCCCGGAGACCGATCGGGACCCCCGGAGACACCGAGATGGACCCCGGGAACGGGGCCGGGAGCCCCGGGACCCCCGGGAGACTGAGAGGGACCCCCGGGACACCGGGAGGGACCCCGGGAACGGGGCTGGGACCCCGGAGACCGAGAGGGACCGCCGGGACCCGACCCCCGGGAACCGGGCTGGGACCCTCGGGACACCGAGAGGGACCCCGGGAACCGAGAGGGACCCCGGGAACCGACAGGGACCCCCGGGACCGAGAGGGACCCCGGGAACCGGGCTGGGACCCCGGAGACCGAGACGGACCGCCGGGACCCCGAACGGGGCGGGGAGATCGCCGGGAGTCCAAACGGAACCCCCAGAAACGGGGCCGGGACCCCCGGGACCCCCGGGAGACTGAGAGGGACCCCCGGCACACCGGGAGGGACCCCGGGAACCGAGAGGAACCCCCGGGACCCCGAACGGGGCTGGGAGACCCCCGGGAGTCCAAACGGGACCCCCGGAACGGGGCCGGGACCCCCGGGACCCCGGGACACCGAGAGGGACCCCGGGACCGAGAGGGATGGGGAAATCCCGGAGACACCGAGAGGGACCCCCGGGAACGAGGCCGGGAGCCCCGGGACCCCCGGGAGACCGAGAGGGACCCCCGGGACCCCGAAAGGGGCGGAGAGACCCCGGAGAACGAGCGGGACCCCCGCGAGACCGAACGGGACCCTCGGGACCCTCGGGAACCGGGCCGGGACCCCCGGAACCCCCGGGACTCCGAGAGGGACCCCCGGGACACCGGGAGGGACCCCGGAGACAGAGAGGGACCCCCGCGAGACCGAACGGGACCCTCGGGACCCCCGGGAACCGGGCCGGGACCCCCGGAACCCCCGGGACTCCCAGAGGGACCCCCGGGACCCCGAACGGGGCGGGGAGACCCCCGGGAATCGAAACGGGACCCCCGGAACGGGGCTGAGACCCCCGAGAGCTAAGAGGGACCCCCGAGACCCCCGAGAGCCCGAACGGGACCCCCGGAACGGGGCTGGGAGCCCCGGGACCCCTGGAACGGGAACGGGACCCCCGGGAACCGGGCCGGGACCCCCGGAACCCCCGGGACTCCGAGAGGGACCCCCGTGGCGGGGAGACCCCCGAGAGTCGAAATGGGACCCCCGGAACGGGGCTGGGAGCCCCGGGACCCCTGGAACGGGAACGGGACCCCCGGGAACCGGGAACCAGGCTGGGACCCCCGGAACGGCGCTGGGACCCCCGAGAACTGACCGGGACCCCCGGAACAGGACAGGGACCCCCGGGAACCGGCAACCAGGCTGGGACCCCCGGAACGGGGCTGGGACCCCCGAGAACTGACCGGGACCCCCGGAACAGGACAGGGACCCCCGGGAACCGGGCTGGGACCCCCGGAACCGGGCTGGGACCCTCGGGACGGGACAGGGACCCCCGGGACACCGGGAACCGGGAGGGGAAACCCCGAGAACCAACCGGGACTCCCGGGAACGGGAGAGGGACCCCCGAGAGCCCGAGCGGGACCCCCGGGACACTGGAAACCGGGCGGGGACCTCCGAGAACCGACAGGGACCCCCGGGAAGGGGACAGGGACCCCCGGGACCCCCGAGAGCCCGAGCGGGACCCCCGCAACGGGGCTGGGACCCCCGGAATAGGGCTGGGACCCCCGAGAGCCGAGTGGGACCCCCGGTACACCGGGAACACCGGGAACGGGGCTGGGACCCTCGGGACCCCCGGGACCGAGAGCCCGGGACCCCCGAGAGCCCGGCCGGGACCCCCGGGACTCCCGGAACGGGACCCCCGGGGACAGGGACACCGGGACCCCCGAGACCTGCCGGGATCGGGGCCACCGGAGGGGGCGGGGCCGCGGCACCGGACGGACGGACGGACGGACGGATGAGCCCGGGGCGTGGGAACCGCCGCCCCCCGCCGCTCCCGCCGTGACTCAGCGCCGGTCGCCGCCGCTGCCGTCAGCCCCCGCTGCCGCCGAGGCACCGGGACCCTCGGGACCCCCCGAACCGGGACCCCCGGGGAGCGCGGGCGAGCGGGGGCGGGGACCGGCACCGCCCCCAGCCCCGCTGCGCCACCCACGGGACCCCCGGAGCTCCGGAGCCCGCTCCCGGTGACACCGGGTGGGCGGGGGTCGCTCTGCCCCGGTCCCCGGGGCCCCCGGAGCTCCTCAGCCCGCTCCCGGGGACCCCCGGG